CCCTAAACCCTAAACCCTTATTACATGCCGGTTCAGGGAACCTCCTTTGACCTCAAGGCTTCGGAAGCCACATTCGGCGCGAATCGCCTTCATTTCTTCTTCCAACCTGGGTTCAGGGTCCAGAGTTTAACGGTTTAGGGGGCTTGGGGATTAGGATCAAGGGCTTAGGGCTTATAACTTCAGGAAGGGTTTAGGATGTGAGGGTCTGGGGGTCGAGGGGTCTACGGCTTTAGGGCTTTGGGTTGTAACCTGGCTTTGGGATGTGAGAGTTGGAGATTTAAGGTTAGGGTGCCAATCAAGGGTCTGAATAACCAGAAAGCTTAGAATCATAATTTTCGAGTCCTTGAGGCCCGTTCATGGCTTCATGCATTTGGGATTGGATAGAACGGATTGTGGGCTTTGGGTCCAAGGGTACAGCTGACTTCCCAAACCCTACAGCCCTACACCTAAAACCTATAGACTAAGCCCCCCCCCCCCCCCCCCCCCAACTACCCTCCATTATGCTCCGAAGACCGCCCCGGCTGGGGGTCATTCAAGCTCCATGTCTTGAGCCCTAAACCCCATGTAAAGGCTGAGGGCTTCGAGTTTATTCGGCAGGAAAAGGGCCCCTGGTCTGAAGGGTTGGGGCTGGCTTTCTGTATAGTTAGGATGACGGCTTAGGGTTAATGTGTTTTGTCCAGGGACCTAGTAGGCTTCCATAAAAATAACTAGGACAACCGTTGTCGGGTGTTGGCTCTGCGGCTGTCTTCCGAGCTTTCGTTGAGGGTTTTGGACTTCATTGCTGAAGATTTGCATGTGATGGCTGTGGATCGAAGGTCGAGCAGAGAATCTGCAAAACCGCCGTGGTAGCTTTGTGCTGGCCCCAAATAGCGCTTCCACTTCCGCTTCCCGTCCTGAAGTTCGAGGCGTCCGAAGAGCTCGACCACCGTCTCTTTCTTGCCATCGGGGGCTGCCATGAAGCGCTCTCTCAACCCTAAGCCCTAAACCCCTAAACCCTAAACCCAGAGGCTCGGCAACCTGGGTAAGGAGAGCGCCGCCTTGGTGAGGTTGCTCCAAAGCCACAAGTCGTGTTAGGGTTTATAGGGTTAGGGTTATGGGGTTTAGAGTTTAGAGTTTATAGGTTATGGCTATAGGCTTAGGGGACGACTCCTGGCCAAAGCCCCCTACCCTCCCTACACCTTGAAAGAAGAAGACCAAAACACAAACGATAGAATCTAATCAGTTAAACGAGTACAAGTATGTGACCTCCATGACTCATGGGGCTTCAGGCACTTAAACCCAAATCCCATCCAAAGCTATCGGATCCCAAAGATACCGACATGTAGAGTTTGGGATTTAGGCGTTTCGGCGCTTCCGGGTTTCGGGGTCTCGGCGATTCGGGACTTAGGGTTCAGGTCTTGGGGGTTTACGGGGTTTCGGGAGTTTACTGTTGGTGGTTTATCCTACGGATTCACAGGACCCAATATTCAGGGGTGCTGGTACTTGCGTTTAGGATACTCGGCCTGCAGGTTAGCACAGTGTGAAGTACGACTGTTTGGTACTTGGCTGTACTTGGACTCTTACGGTTTGGTTGGATAAGCCATTAAGCTGTTGCTGGGCGGGTCATTGACGATGTGACTTGATCCCCCTATCTATTCATAACGTCCCGTGCACCTTTAGTACAGAAATAGGCCCGAGACTTCACAGAAACAAGGCTTCGGGAACCCCTTAAATTGAGGATTAAGGTCAAACAGCATGTACATGGATTTTTCGCTGTCTTGAGCCGCGGCTTCGATTCCACAGGCCAGGCGGCCTGTTCGTAAAATCCGGATCGCGAGCGTTGTTCCTGAAGGCAGCTACAGGGCCCTATCGACTTCCGGTCTTCCGGCTTTGGTGTTGTAGGGTTCAGGGTTTCGGCTGTTGGCTTGCCGAAATAAGCTGTTCTATATCGGATTCAGTTCAGGCTTCTGGTATACAACCTGTCCTGGTCCCTACTCTACTCTCTGCCTCTGCTTCAGGCAACAAACCAAAGACCAGACCAGCCCGACAATAAAATCAGCTCTGGCATTTTGCACATCTCGCTGGCCATTGTCCGCAGACCAATAACGAAAAGTGTTTGGATCTCCTGCACCAATCATTCTAAATCTTTGTTTCAACTTTCTGGGGTTCAGTATCGGGACTATTCGGGGATGGTTTTACTGAACATGTCGACCCCTCGTCAGACCCCAAAAGTTCAGAGAATCCATTGCCCAACTCGAAGCCTCAAGAGGTCCTTTACCCCTTTGCCTATGGGTCCAATTGGGTTTAGGATTGCAGTTTTGTAGTTTGTGGAGATACTTGGACCCTCAAGTTTTTTCGGCAGTTTTCAAGCTTAGCAAGGAAGGACGCAGAGCCGGAGGTCTGCCAGACCTCAGGCCAAAAAACACCTGGAAAAGCCGAACACCCTAACCTCATGACTGTAAGGAGTGCTTTCTTGCAGCCTGCGGACTCAAAGACCCTGCTATAGGCTATTTTCTAGTTGTGGTGTACTGATGGCAGAGGGTAGCGGGGGCGCTTATCCCGTCCTTCGTCTTGATATCAACACGGGGATCCAGGCTTTAGATATAGCTTTGAGTCCGACGCCCCATTCAATCCAGAAATCGCAGCCCCAAACTGCAACTCCACAGCCTATAACCCCAAGATCCTAAGCCCTCAACCCAAAACCCCTAAACCCCAAACCCCAAGACCCTAATCTATGAATCTCAGCACATCGGATTTCGCAGCCGGCTCTCAAAACTACAGTATCGGAATGGCGCGTTGAGGCTTAGGTTCTGACGCTTGTTTTTAGGGATTGTAAAGCTTTTCTATACAGTCCAACCTTTACACCGTTTAGGGTCGAATCTGGGATGACATTTCACCCTGAACCCTAAGCCCTGAATCCAAGCAAGCGGCATCACCAAGCAAAGTAGGCTCATGATGTTCATGCGCTCGAGGAGATTGTCCATTCTTGCGGACCTGAATTCAGAGCCAAAGCCAGTTCAAAGAACTCAGACTAAAGCTTCGTGGGGCTTTGTACCATAAGCATCTGTTCAGGAACCCTCAGGAACCGCAGGGAAGAATAGGAAAGCTCACCCTTGAGCTGTAAACCCTGCTACGGTCCTGCAACACATGACTTTAAGACCCTCAATATCTGTAAACAGACACCATGAACGGTAGCTTCCCTAAGATGACTTCGGCACCGCAAATAAAACTAAGTTACCACGAGCTTCTCTAGCTGCTGCCTGCCCGTCCGAAAAACCAGTAGAGGTCACAGAAGTCCTCAGTTCTCCTTCATCTGGTCATCGTATGAAACGCGACTGTGGACTGGAATCCTAAACTGGAAGCCTGCAACCTGGAAAGCAAACCAAGCTCTTCTCAACCACCCATTGAGGGCGGGCTGCTGGTCCATCGACCCAATATAAACAGCACAGTACCCATAAACCATGCAGGAACTTCTAGTCTAGGCTGGGCTTCTAGGGATACACTGAGCCCCTGAAGCAACAGCTCAATCAAAGCTTCCGAACCTTATGGGACACACGATGTAGTTTGCATATACTGGGATCTTCAGTACAGGGCAGCCTAAGTAAGGCATCTCACAATGAGATTCGGAAATGTACGGCCGTAGATTACAAACCTGCACATTAACCAAAGAGCCCGAGCTCAGCAAGTGAAAAGGCATTCAAAAGCCGCATATTGTACGACGACTATCCGCGCACCGTCATCGTCATAATCGGCACCACCATGCCATCATCATCAGCAGCAGCATCATCATAGTCATCCCCGTCACCACCACCACTATACTGCGCAGTGTTACCAAAGCCCTCACAACCATCAACATCCTCCTCATCATCACCATCATTAGCATCGACGACGTTTTAATTGCAATGGCAGCCACAGTGAAGTCTGCAGTAACAAGAAGCAGCATACGCATCACCATCATGTCGACGCTCGTCACCATCGTAATCATTACCGCCGTGTCCTTTAGACAGACTTCCGGCTCCGATCATCCTGCGACTGTTGCTACTCTGACGCTTACTTCTGCACGGTCAAGGCGCTCTAACTGGTGCATCACATCATGATTGATGAAAAGGTTGCTGTTGGCCAAAGTCGTCTCCAAAAACCTGGCATCTCGAGTCCAAACTTCGAGATTGCAGATGCCAACTTCAAAGCCGACGAACTGCACTGAGTTGACAGGCACAGCTTGGAAGTCAGCCGAGTAAACAACAAAAAATAATAAACCTGGCAAGCGAATCAAATCGATAAGCCCTTGGTGGACGTAGCCGTAGCCTTCCAAGAAAAAACTGTCAGCAGTGCACCTGACACCCTGCTGGGATGAAACGCAAGCTTTCTGTCAGGGGGCTTCATCAACCAGCAGTTTACAAATCACCGGAACAATGCCTAGTTGCACAGTGTTGCGACGATGTGTACAAGCTGGTGCTTGTGTGAAAGATGTTGTGGTAGCGGTTAGCGGGTAGAGCTCGTGCAGCTGATCAAGTCGTAGAAGTCGTAGTAGTAGTAGCAGTAGCAGTACTACTATGTAGTAGTACAATAGTGGTACAGTAGTATTACAGTAGTAGTACAGTGGTAGGACAGTAGTAGCACAGTAGTAGTACAGTAGTAGCACAGTCGTCATAGTAGTAGTAGTAGTAGTAGTAGTAGTAGTAGTAGTCGCAGCAGCAGCAGCAGAAGCAGCAGCAGCAGCAGCAGCAGCAGCAGCAGCAGTAGTAGTAGTAGTAGTAGTAGTACTACTACTACTACTACTACTACTACTACTACTACTAGGCAGTAGTGGTAGTACTAGTAGTAGTAGTAGTAGTAGTAGTAGGAGGAGGAGGAGGAGGAGGCGAATCCCGGCCTCTGGACCATCTGTCCTACTGCAGGCTCGGGCGTGAGAAATGATTGAATGATCTGTGAGCCGTCGGATTGAAGAAAGACTCACGCTACTTACTCATACTCGATTAGCATCTGGGTCGAGCTACTGGTGAGCAAGGCTCCCCAACCGCTTCGGAAGTTCGTGCCAAATCCGGTCAACAACTATGCACCCTGCCACAAAGACGCCAGCCAACCGCAGACTTCCTCGAAGAAAGGCCAGGCAGAATGCAACCGCGGCGCAGGCAAGCAAAAAGAAGCTGGGATCACGAAATCCAGACAGGATCAACCGGACGCTGAAACATATAGGATGAGGAGCAGGGCAGGGACCACTGGGGGGCTTAGAGCAAGCCAAGGCGGCGTCAGCCCGACGGCGGAGTGCCACCTGGGCATGGTGGCTGCGAAGCAAGACCGACAATTCGTCTGCGTGCAGCAATCCAGCATCAGAGCCTGTGCGGGCAGTGGCACGCTCCCACCCTTGTTCAGCTTCGGAGCAGAGAGAAGCTTGGTTGGCGGTAAAGCTGGGGCACGCATGGAGCTATTGTCGGCCCAACCCCTAACGCGAGCAGCGTCGCAGCAAGGACAAGCAGGCACTAGTAGACACGGGAAGGGCCGTTAGCATCCAAGTCCGTGGAGGGGCTGCGCGGTCGTTGGCGAGGTCGCTCACCTCCATGCCGAGTTCCAACTCCGCGGCCAGCGCCTGCCAGCGCTGGCGTGCGTGGGATGGGAAGCGGGCACAGTGGGCGGCAGCTGCCAAGCCCTTGGCCGTCCACAAAGCATCAAGCTGCACAGCGAGAGGTCGTCGCAGTCGGCCCTCGAGAATAATCCAGAATGGGGCAGGGCGAGGATGTAGCGAAGGCTTCGTAACCGTGGCGACCCATCGCAGAAGCAGGAGGACTCCGGGCGAGCGGGCCATGGTGTGAGAGAGTTGGCCTGCAGTAGTAGTGGTGGCAGTAGTAGTAGTAGTAGTAGTAGTAGTAGTAGTAGTAGTCGTAGTAGTCGTAGTCGAAGCGTAGTAGAAGTGTAGTAGTAGTAGTCGTCGTCGTCGTCGTCGTCGTCGTCGTCGTAGTGGTAGTAGAAGTGTAGTAGTAGTCGTCGTCGTGGTGGTGGTGGTGATGGTGGTAATAGCAGAATAGCAGTAGTAGTAGTAGTAGTAGTAGTTGTTGTTGTAGTAGCAGCAGTAGGCGCCCCCACCCCCCACCAATGACACTTGCTCGAAACCATCTTAAGAGCAAATCCATTTTATTTCGTTATTTGCAGTACTTTCGTAATGTCCTGCCACTTCGAGTCTCGAAATCGATTTGTCGACTTTGCAAACTGGAGATTCGGACTTGGAAGGGTTCGGGGGGTGGGGGGGGATGGGGGGGTAAGGGGTGGGTATTTACACTACTTTCGTAATGTCCTACCACTGCTTGTTGCCTCAAAAATCCATTCGTCGACTTTGCAAGCTTGAGTGCTTGTGATGACGAACATGATGGTTTCAGCCGGAAGGTCGTTGGTAGGGGGGTGGCTAGTAGTAGTAGTAGTAGTAGTAGTAGTAGTAGTAGTAGTAGTAGTAGTAGTAGTTGTTGTTGCAGTAGTAGTAGTAGTAGTAGTAGTAGTAGTAGTAGTAGTAGTAGCAGTAG